CATCTTGGCTCTCGTGGCTACGCCAAAAAGATGCCAGAATTTGAAGCAGAACTTCAAAAGATGGATCGCCTTGCTGAGGAAGGCGTTCAGGTTGAGACCGCCGATTGGGAGCCCAGATCGGTAATATACTGTATGGGGAGGAATGTACGGCACGCCAAGGACGGGAGCTTTAGCTCCTCAAATCTACCCATGAGCGAACTCATCTAGAGGATCTCCCAGGTAACTGAGGAGGTGAGGCAAGGGACTCGCACTTCTAATAGGGAGAAAGACGTGCTCACCCAAGCACTCAGAACCAAGGAGCACCCTGGTCGCACTAGAGGAACCGGTGTTGTACCTTGGAAACTAGCATTCCCCCAAGAATCTAACACTTACCAGAGCTGCTCGAGGGGTAGAGAGGAACATGAGGCAGAGTATTTGAGGAGACTAAAAGAGATGGAAGACAGAATGGAAGCACAGATTAAGGCGACCGTTGAAGCGCGAGTCGAGACAATTTTGCTGTCCAAGGGGTCAACAGTACCACAAAACCCTACTCCTACTGCCTTTAGCCCACCGTTTAGGTGTCGCAGCAGTTGCGGATCGACCCCTCTCGACGAAGAAGAGGCGAATGTGCCTCATCCGGTGGACGACATCACTGAACCCGTCAATGTTAGGTTGTACATCCATCAGGAATGGACAAAGGACAAGGTGGCGCTCGGCCAGGCCTGGCCTGTGGGAGATGGGACAATTAATGGCCACCTAATTCCACTGGGGTATGCTCGCATCACCATTGATAGAATACTTGATAAGAAGTATAACAAGATACCCATTGAGTACCCCGTAGTGGAAGACATGCCGAAACTTGGTCATAACAAGGGCTCTCAAGTGGCCTGGCCCAAGCGCTTCATTAAGCTTGACCACCAGTTGTCCTCTGATGATGAGGACGACTATGAGTCTTCGCCCACCCGCGATGATAACTCACCATCTCCCAACAAAGATCACTCCCCTTCTCATCTGGAGCCATCACCCCAAGAAGACAGAGGTCTCCTTCTATTCCTCCTCGTCCGACTCCATCTTCATCAGCCCCGAGAAAAGAGCTCCTCCTCCTCCTCCTCTGACTCCACCTTCATAAGCGCCGGGAAAACAGAATTCTCATCGTCATCCTCCTCCTCCTCCACCTTAGCCCAAAACAAGATCAAGGACATCCTCGTAGTCGCAGAAAAGGTCCTTGGATTCGGTCGCTAATGCTCCCAAAGTGGACCAACAGAAAAGAAAAAGGTCATTCAGTGGCAACGTTACCTCCTTGATGGAAGAAAAATTTATAGCATACATCAGGAAGGAAGATTGTATTAGTTTCTTCAATCTCTGTGCCTCGCTGCCTTCGTTTATGTTGAAGTCTGAATTCGAAAGGCAAACATAGAATAAATACGCTACAACAAGAGACGAAGAAATACACAATAAAGATTTAAGGAACATACAGAAGTACATCGAAGACAACCCAGGATTAACCATGGAAGAGGCCGCGACCATCTATTATGATGTACAAGGGACGGCAACACCAGCAATGAAGCATGTAAGGGGCACTTTTTTTGTTCCCGATCATGAGTTTAAAAATCTGACAACATATATGCGCCATTTACATGAATATTACATGGCTCAAGCAACAGAGACGGACAACTTAGGTTTTGAGGTTATTATCCGTTCGCCACATGTTTTCAATTATCCTGAAGAAGAGAAGTTCGATGTCGAGTGGGAGTGCTTGTTCTAGCTATACCAGAAACACGATCTCGATGTTCAACTGTTGATGCTGTGGACTATGTAAGTACCCTACACGCACGATATTACAATTAACTACTCTCTCGAGACACAAATTGTTAACTTTTGAGCACTTCCCATGATTTTATGTAGGTGTATAGCAAAATTTTGCATTCTAAAAAGCAAATCAGATTACATAGGCTTCTTGGACCCATGCGAGTCAATGAGAGGACATGTCTAGGCCTCTATGGATGTGATGTGGAAGACCTGAAACAGAGATTGATTGTTGTTTTCGATGAATTCACGATGAAGAAGAAAACCCACATACTTCTAGCCTACAACTGCGAGTATATGTTCTCGGCTTTTAATTTTATGCTTCTTTTTTCGTTAAGATTATTCGATAATTAGGATTTTGTGATTGCAGCAACCATTTCATCTTCATTTGTGTTAATCTTGCCAAAAATCTGCTCGAGGTGTGGGACTCGAAGAAAAAACCATTTCATCATTTGGATGCACTAGTGTTAGTGCTGAATTAGTAAGCGATCCTAATAACATATTATTTTCTAATCACACAAACCCGCTTTCTAATGTTTCTCCTTTTAATGTTGCTCAGTGTCCGAAGAAGTCATATCGGTGGGAAGCCGGTCCCATTCAAGGTTGTCGAAATGGAGGGGAAGTACCTATCACAGCTGACGGAAAACAATGAATGTGGGTTTTATGTAATGTGGGCAATGCTTCGCTACATCGGCCGGAAATTGGAAGAAGCCGATAAGTTGGTGTGTATAATCCCTATTTCATGTATGTCTGTTAATAATTCAACAAAATAATTTACTATTCCTCTTTGGATATCATCTTTTTTGAACGACATCGCAAGAAATTTAAGCATGAAAGGCGGCTAGAGATGGAGATCGTCGCACTACAATCGGAGCTGGCAAAATTCATCTTAGCCGAGGTATTGGAAAAAGATGGAGTATTTTTCATTGCACAATCCGTGAAGTACAAGGACCAGTATGGCCCAGAGCGGCTCGCCAGATTATTGTAAGAAGTCCGAGAACATTTCTTTTTTATTTTGAGGGATCGAGATCTGGATAAGAACATTTGAATTGTAACCGTAACATTTGTAATGTTTAATATTGATGGACCTATCGTCTACGTAGCGCATATAAAGTGAAACCCGATCCCACAAAAAAATATAAATTAAAATAAATTATAAAACAATAAAATAAGAACGGGCCATCACCGCCGGTTAGCAACAAACCGGCAGTGTTGTCGTAACCATCACTGCCGGTTAGAAACAAACCGACAGTGTTGGCTTGCTCAACACTGCCAGCTTGAACCATGAACCGACACTGATGATTAGGACAACACTGCCGGTTTGATCCATGAACCGACAGTGTAGGCTTCCTTAACACTGCTGGCTTAAGCCAAGAACGGACACTGATATTTACTACAACACTGCCGGTTTGATCCATGAACCGACATTGATATTTACAACAACACTGCCGGTTTGATCCACCAACCGACACTGGTATTTACAACAACACTGCCAATTTGATCCATGAACCGACAGTGTAGGCTTGCTCAACACTGCTGGCTTGAGCCAAGAACCGACACTCTTGAAGCAATCGTCACTGTCGGTTGGAATTACAAACCGGCAGTGTTGTTCAACTGGACACTGCCGGGTGGAGCCAGGAACCGACACTGTTTCCTGTAGATCAATGTCGGTTTTTAAGGACCGGCAGTGATGTCAACCCCACATCACTGCCGGTATGCCACTGTCGGTTCAAAATCCGGCAGTGAAGTGGGTTTTTGAACCGGTAGTGATGTCCAGATCTAGGGTAGTGTTGATCTACTCCACTTGCCACGTAGGACAGTTATCAGTAGATACATACCGCGTAGGCAGTAGGCATTGTCGAAGACCTGCCTATTTGATTGATGACGACAACACCAACGCAGTGCAGACCGTAAGTAGGCTGAGGTCATAGCAGATCCGTTCAGCCAGCAACTCTCCATGATCCAAGTAGATGATGTAGTCGACGACGATGTCGGAGATGGTGGTGCCGGCGAGGTCTAGGTCGACGACGAACGATGATGTAGACGAAGTAGTCGACGATGATGCCGGTAGAGCAAAGTGCTGATAACATGTTGTGAAATCACGTCGCCAGCGGTTAGGACCTTTCTCTATCCGTCTCTCGTGATCACAAAGTAGATGAAAGTAGAAAAACAAAGTAGACAAGATATAGGGAGAGGCTCTATCTTTATCATCTATAACATAGATCTGTACAATATCCCTCTCCTCTCCTCTCATGTATATATGGTACTGCGGAAAAGAGTCGAGTAGGAGTGCATGTGAAGATTCCTACTAGAAATTCATGTTTTAGGTAAGAGCCCGCTAGAGTCCTTATAGGATACGCTTCATAACATGTATTTTATGCCGTCACCAGCGATGCCATCAACTTTTTAGCATCGAACACCAACCATGTCATCCGTCCCTTGTTTTCCGCGACAGTGCTTTTGTATCCCAACAGCTATATTTGTGAGGGTTTCTACCATTGTATTCTATGTATAGAACCTACACCCTCCATCCCAAAAATCGAAGTTGGACCATACCTCACACTCTCGTCGCTTACGCCACTGAGTCACCCACTCGCCCGAGATGAGACACCGATCAAGAGTCAGGATGACGAGACTCGAGTGTCGAAAACCAACCGACACTAGGTGAGATTCTTGGGAGTGCGACGGGACGCAAAAGATGTTTTTGGCTAAAGATTGTTGGGCTACATAGGATGCAGAGGAAAAAAACTAAGGCCTCTGAGAAATGAGGGCCTGTGCGATCGCACAGGCCGCACCCACTCCAGCACGGCCCTGCAACACGTGTCTCCCCCCACGCAGCCAGCTGCGGGTGTCATACCAGTGCTCGGCAGAAGCGCGTTCCTGCGTGGATGGGGCATCGTTACCTTGTGTTCATAATGGATACTATACTAGGAACAAAGCACACCACTCCTGCACTCCATAGACCACACAAAGCATCTCTTAGGTTTCCTATATTCTCATCCAAAAAAAGAATAGCTAGCTGTTATATTCTGGAAAAATTCTCATTCTCTGCACCACTAAGGTTAACTGATGCTCCACATATTCATGTGCCAGATGCACTTCCACACTATAAAAGAATGCCTAGCTACCACCATGAACTTAAGAAGCCAAGAGTGCCATAACAAATACCAACCAGAAGCCCTCGATTCACTGCTTATTTGCACGACTCCGACAAGATGTCTGGCAACGGGATGAGCGGGGTCTTCACCCCTGTGATTCAGGGCAAGGACCAGCAGTCCAGCATGAACAGCATGCAGGTAACTGAACCTTGCAATAAGCATTATTCTCACGAGCAGCTCCAAAGGTCATGATCTGCGAGTGAGGTGCACTCCCGAATCGAGTGACAAGCTGTTTTTCTTTGCTCTTGTAGAACCATAACACGGGCAACAGCACAAATGTACCTGTGACTGGCTTGTCCTTCACAGGTGGCGCCTTCTTAAGTGGCAACTCAGTTAACGGACCACCTCCGCCACAGGTGAAAAATACTCAAGACCCCCCACTCTGCTAGCATATTTTCCTTAATTATTATCAGTTTACAGGAAAGAAATAAATCTTGGTCAAAGCTACGTATCATATATGAGTATAAAAAATGTTACGATGGGTTATTTGAAGGATATTCATCTGATTATTACTTGGAGGATAAATTGGCCCACGAAATCATCATGAACATTGCTTGGAACAGATAGTATTGATTTCAGAAGAACCTTGTGCTGGGGTTATATTTTTTTCCCTGATTTATAAAAAAGTGCTCTCTGTTTGGATCTCTGCAGATAATTATTTGTTAGGCAAAGTTGCCATAGCTGGTTTACCCTCATTTGTAATTGGATGTCAACTAGTTGTACCAATTCCAATGAATTTATTTACTTATCTTCAAAGTTTCAATACCACAATGAAAGTACACGGGTTTCGTTAGGACAAGACCAAACCAACAACTACTCCATTAAATATAATCTACTATATAAGTGATATCAAATCAAGTCATAAGTAAGGACTTTTGCATACAAATCTAATGTTAAGAAACCTTAAACACCTTGTATTTTGGGACAGAGGCGGTCTGTCTTTTTAGTGAGGATCGTCAGTAATGCTTTTTTCACATTTAAGCTGCAGGAAACACCAGCTTTGGCATCAGGGGGAATTCGAACTTCTGAGGTGGAAGTGGCGGGAGGACCTTCCACTACCAGCTTCTACCAACATATATGAAGTTAATAGTGAACCTGATAGAATAAAGCACTACTAGCCAGACTATGTATGTACTTCTAAATAAAACGACCTTACGCCCATGTTGTGGAGTCCTGTATGTGTATGTTCGAATAAAGTCATGGGCCTACATAACTCAGGGCTTAGCTAGAAAAGCCAGTCATCGGCGCATATGGATTTGATTTAATAGCATGCCCTTAGCGATGCAAGGCCGTCTATTATGCTCCACATGTGCAATGAAGGTCTTATAAGGTCCTCCTTATTTGTCTCTACACTGTGTGATGGACTACTGAGATCCAATATAATTTCCCTGTGAGTGAGATTTTGATTGTACAATGCTGTCAGGGAAAAATATTTATGTCGGTGGTTGAGTTTTTTCGTCGGGATAACTGCACAGGAGAAAACAAATAAACCTGGACGAAATCTATTTTCCTGTGCGTGTAAACCCGATAGAAAAATTATTTGTGACGGTGAACCGACAGAAAAATAGAATCTCTGTCGAGCTAGCCCTGTCGGTTATTTTCTGTCGGTAGACCGTTAGAAAAATATTTTTCTGTCGGGATTCGATTTTTCCTGTTGGTTTTTGCACACACAGGGCTATTCTAGTTTCCAGTAGTGTATGTTTATTGCATTTATTTATTAATGTATGCCTTATGTTCTTTAAGTGCTCTTTTGAATGCATTTAATCGTGGACATTATGAATCATGCCATGTAATCTCGAGAATAAAACATTGAATGATTACACTAGCAACATGGCATAACGTATATGAGCTCTATAATCTTGAAGACCTTAGACTTAGTACCTCGAGAGTGTCATATTATTTTTTTAGAAATGCTAGTATACTTCTGAGAATATTTTTGCATAATCATCCACTACCTTTTGCATATTACTACTTTTTAACATGCAGTAAATTTATATGCACATGATTACAATTATTTTGATATGCACATGAAGCAGAAATATCCTGAATTTACCTAGATAGCTTGAATTATCTCTTATGGTCATTCTAAACCTTAATATCCATTGAAGGATATGATCTCTGAAAGATTATTAAACCCAAGAAGGCTGATTTACTGCACCACTGAAGTGGAGCAGGCTTAGTCACCACATTTTCTAAGACACAAAGTATTACTATCAAGAAGGATTACATGACCAATATAAACCCCAAGGTATTATGGGACTCAGTGTATGAGAAACTCAAGAAGATAACCCATAAACTCATTCTACAATATCAGTATACTTAATAAATTGAATTTTTCAAGAATATTATACCGTATGGGAATATAATACTGTTCTATACAATTGCAACTAGCTTGAAGCTATGTGCTCTCAACGCCATAGAAGGCAAGATAATAAACAAGGATTTATTTACAATTATTCTAGAAGATTCGAATATTATGAGCAATGAGTACAAGAAGTATTAATATTTATCATTCACAACTACTCAAGATCAAGTACAAATTGAGCTAGGAGTTTGGGAAGCTTATATGAATAAGGATATTATCAAAGTGAGACTTAGCAGTATATATGACTCACATTTACCACACCCCTAGAAGGCTTGTGAAAGCATATCACAACCATTTAATAAAGCATGAGCCGCCACATAGAAAAACAGGAATGAAGATCAATTGGAATAATTCATGACCTTCTTGAAGAAGAACTTAAACATGTGCTTGAGGGGGCGAAGCTCGCCGTGGCAGTTGGCAACATAGGCCAAGCTCCCAAAGTTGAGAACTTGGCTACGAACGAAGGCGCCGGCGGTGAAGACGACCACGTCGGAGAAGCAGTCACCGCCTTCTAGGGTTATGCCGCCTGCTTTGGCGACGAGGCGTGTGGCTCCGGCCACCGTAGAGCCAAAATCACACTCGACGCGCTCCCCTACCTGGCGCGCCAGCTGTTGTGGGTTTGTAACTGTGGCAAGCATCATGGTTGTTCATCGGATGTCGGAAGTGCGGGTCTCCAGTGGCTTGGGCACTCAAAAACTAAAGAGATACATGGCGGTTTATCCTAGTTTGGGCTATCGAGGCCCTACGTCTAGCAGTGAGGTGTTCTTTGTGTTCAGGAGCACCCAAATCGGGGGTTTACAACAGAGGAGAATGAGAATTTGGTAGGGGATCGCTCGGTTCTATCCTACGGCTCGCCGATGGTGAGGTTTCTTCCCAACGAGTAAGGGAATCGGCCCTCTCTTGCTAGGTTGCTGGGGGAGGAGCACTCTGCTATTCATCTCGGTTGCTCTCTTGGCAGATGGTTCTCCTGTCCAATCGGTCTATGAATGTCTAATCTGTTGCTCTGTTCGTCCTCTCCCCTCTGGGAGCCTACCCTCCCCTTATATACCGAGGAAGGTCGGGTACAAGTCGGTTTGGGGGTTTTAGTCTATGGTCTTCGTGCGCCGAGAGCAGGAGGTTGCTGCCGTGGTGTGGATGGACCTTTGCCTTGTCGTGGAGTTGGCGGAGCCATAGGCACCGCCTGACGTTGCTGGAGCCCATGACACTTGACCGTTAGGGGTTGTCTGTTGCGGTCCGACCTTCACCGGGCGAACCTTCCCATGGCCTCCTGGTAATAAATTACCATACCCCAATGTCCCTCCATCAGCCTCAACCATGTTTATAGATTTCTTTATGGACTTCCACTTGCTCTCCTCGTAGTCCCTAGCATAATGCCCGGGCTTGCCACAAGTGAAGCAATTTCCCTTTTCCTTGTTCTTCTTCTTCTTCTTAAAAGGTGTAGTGGTCTTTTGTTTGAGCTCTTGCTTGAATTTCTTCTTGTGGGAATTTTGAGGATTTTTTTGCACTACTCGGGCACTAGAACTTCCATCAACAATTTTTTTGCCGCGGACATCCTTAGCTCTCGCCTTCTCTTCGACATCTAAAGAGCCAATGAGGTCAGCAATGCCAAACTCTTGTCTCTTATGTTTCAAAGAAGTAGCAAAGTCTATCCAAGCCTGTGGTAGCTTAGCAATAATGCAGCCTGCCACGAACTTATCCGGCAGCACCGTACCAAAATTCTCGACTTCTTTTGCTAGTGTTTGTATCTCATGAGCTTATTCAACTACAGGACGGTCATCAAGCATCCTATAGTCCTAAAACCGCTCCATGACATACAACTCACTACTATGGAGTCACATATTTGTCCTCAAGTGCATCCCACATCTCTTTACCAGTTTGCAGAGTCACATATGCATCTACTATGGAGTCTCCTAGCACGCTTAATATTGCCCCCTTGAACATAGCATCAGCATCTTGGAACGCACGATCCTCTTCAGGAGTATGCGGTCCAACTAATCTAGGTTCGACAACAAAATAGCAGTGCATAGCAATAAACCACAATATGCATCTCTCATGCCACCTCTTGTAATGTGTGCCCTAAAAAACATTTGGTTTCAGCATACTCACAAAGCCGACTACCGAAAAATGCCTATCAGGTTTTAGGATTGTTAGAATTTTAGGAAAATTCAGTAGCAATTTAATCTAGAAAATTATAAATAATATGTTCGTGACATCAGACATGTGCATGTGTGATCTAAGTGCAACAAACATGTACATGATTCTAATCATATATAATAAAGGACAGGTTGCAACAGCATACCCAGTGGCACTAGAGCCGATGCTAGTTGATATAGCTGTTGTCAATGTAGTCGTCCCGCTCGATGCCATGTAGTAATGTTGCAGTGCCGATCACCCCAAGTCATCGAGAAGTAGCAGGAAGAACAATGAACGAGCGAGCAGTCACGTGAAGACGCTCCCAAATACCTAATTGCCGGTTTTCACCCGAGCAGATGAACTCGTGGACGGTGCCAGTTTTGGAGGCCTGCTCTCCCTATTCCTGTGCTCGCAGGAAACAGGACAGGAATGGCAAATAGCAGCACAACAGCAGCGTGGAGGTGTTCTGGCTTTGTGTGCTCTTCTCTCGTGAATAAGAGAAGGAGTGCCCCTTTTATGCAGCAGCAAAGGAAGATGAAATTGAAGAGCTAGGCGCATGAAGAGTTAGTAGTCATCATGTCATTGTCTGTTACAAGTAACATGTGAAACCGACAAATGAATTGTCTGTTACTAGTAACGAAAACCACTATGACACCATGAACCACAAAATCATCATCCACCAACACATAATGTTCATCATGCACTTAACCTCTCATCAACCCTCATCAAACCGTAAGTTACACTGCATAAAGCACCCAACAAATTACACCTAGCATTAACTTTAATCTTGGAATTTCCTTTGATTTAATTGCTAAATAAATTGGACAAACCCAATTAAACCCAACAGTCCCAAACTCGAGGACTTGCTAGGCTTGCAGAGGAGCAGCATTCAAAAACTCGTAGTTTGAAGAAAAAAATTACTGAGTGCGTGGACGATCGCACATGGTGCCGCAGGTGAAGTCATTGATGACAACCGTGTCCATGATGTTGGGGAGTTCATTCATTGCGCTTCCTGGAGAAGCGTTGGATGTACTCCCGGAGGGTCTCGCTCGACCTCTGTCTGCAATTGCGCAAATCCCAAGAGTTACCAGGTTGAGTGTAGGTACCTTAGAAGTGCCCGATGAAGGTTGAGCCGAGGTCGGTCTAGCTCCAGATGCTGCCAGGGTTGAGCTGCTCAAGCCATGTCCTCACCGAGCTTGGCAAGAGCAGGGGCAAGTACTAGACCATGAAGTCGTTGCCCTAACCCCCAGGCCCTCATCGTGGGCCGGTAGTCATCGAGCTTGTGGTTGGGATTGGTCTCCCCATCATCCTTGCCGATATGGGCCTGTGGTCAAAAGCGCTTGGGGTAGCAAGCCACCTAAATTCTAGTCCCGAATGCCTAGGCTGAATTGGTCCTTGCTCGGGCTCTCTTCCCATAGGTCACGGCTTGGTGACATGGCCTCAGCGTAACACCTCACCTCGATGGTGCGGCGCATGTCTCGCTCTAATCCAATTTGGTTGTGCGCAAGAGGTCGGCGGGAGGAGGGCTCGGCCCTCCGCTCCTGCAAAGGATTGGCTCCTCTCATCCTAGGACGATCAAAGTT